GTGCGGGGGGCGCCCCGCCCCCCCCGAGGGGGGACGGGCCCCTCCCCCATCCCCGCCCCCCTGAGCCAGCCAGTCCCTGCCCTGGGGCCAGAGGGGAGCCGGCGCCCCTCTAGAGGGGCCAGGCCCCTGCCCCATTCCCCGCCCAGAGAGGGAGCCGGGTCCGTACCCATCAGCGACCCCGCGACGATGGCGAGTCCCAGCCCTTTGCTGATCACGATCTTCAGGCAGGGAACTGGATGAAAACAGAGAGGGAGAAGGGGGGGGAGGGGGTTGTCCAAGTCAGGCCACCAGCGACCCTTGGCCTCCACAGTGGAGTTTATGCCCCCGGGAACCTCACATCCTCCCCACCTGGGGATTTCACCGGCCCCCGCAACCCTACGGCCTCTTGGGGTGTCCTTAGCCACCTGCCCCCTTTGCCCCTTCCCCAGCAGCACCATGGCCGCCCTCTGCCCCCAGCCAGCGTCTGCTGCCCCCTGGATATCCCCGGGACCCCGCTCCATGCTGACCCTACCGGTCCCCGTCCCTCATTCCTCTACAACTGCCTCCCCCCCACGGGCCAGCTCCCCTGGGCCCCCCATGTCAGGTGTTTCTCTGGGCATCCCTGCACCCCACTACCCGGCCCTCTGCGTTATGGCTCCCCCGACCCCTGACGTCTCGGGGTGACTCCGGTTCCCTGTGCGCTGGGCTCCCCCAGCTCCTTCCCACCCCCAGCTTGCCCCCTTCCCTCCAGGCCTCGGCCCCCTAGGAGTGCCTGGCTCCCACCCCCTCAATTTCCCCCTTGGTCCCCATGGTAGCTACTGCCCTGCCCCACTGAGCCCCCACCCTACCCCATCGCCGCCCAACCAACCCCCACTGCTCCCCCGGCACCCTCACCCTACCCCATTGTCCCCTACCCAACCCCCACTGCTCCCCCAGCCCCCCGACCCCCAACCAACCCCCACTGCTCCCCCAGCCACCCTACCCCACCAACCCCCACTGCTCCCCTGGCACTCCCACCCTACCCCATTGTCCCCTACCCAACCCCCACTGCTCCCCCAGCCCCCAACCAACCCCCACTGCTCCCCTGGCACCCTCACCCTACCCCATCGCCGCCCAACCAACCCCCACTGCTCCCCCGTCACCCCTACCCCACCGACCCCCAACCAACCCCCACTGCTCCCCCAGCCACCCCCACCCTACCCCCATTGTCCCCTACCCAACCCCCACTGCTCCCCCAGCCCCCAACCAACCCCCACTGCTCCCCTGGCACCCTCACCCTACCCCATC